ACCCCATGGGTTGATGTTGCTCTCTCACCTTTCGGGGGCTTTGGAAAAGGGGGGCAGCCAGGAGAAGACAGCAAGACCCCACTGCTACCTTCTGCCCCAGGAGCTCAGCAGTTAAGTTTAATAGCAGTTAAAAGTATAAACCCAAGGGGGGAAAAAAAAAAACAAACCCAAACCAAAACCAAATAGTGAATGTGAATTAAAATTATGAAAACAGTGGAATGGAAGAGAGGAGGTAGACTGGGCTGGTTTTATTAGTAAGGTGGACCAACTGCTTTGATTACTCAGGGAAGGTACTTTTATGTATTTGTCCATGAGTCTGTGAACATAAAATCGTACTTTAAAAAATAAGAGTTAACTGACATGGATTTCCATAACCACTCTTCATCTCATCCTGCTCTGAAAAATTTTCTATTTATGAGAGTCGTTCATGAGAAGTTGCTTCATGGAAGAGCCAGACCACTTGAGCCACGCCTGTGGCTGGCCAGCTACAACAGGTACAGATAAACCGAGCAGTTGCCACAGACTGAGATCCCATAGACATTCACTTCTTGATGCATTGACAACTTTGTACCCAAACCCATGGTACAAAGGCAATTCATGTAAGCAGCGGCCTTCTAGCAGGTTCAGGAGATCAGTTAATTGCAACTGCTTATAGCAACAGCTACAAATGTCCCGGGGAGCGTGTTCCAGCAGCACTACGAGATACTCACCCTTCAGACTTCCTAAAAGTCACTGCACACTCTGCATAAACACTGAACAGAAAAGGAATGAACAAAAAAATTATTTAATTTTCCTCTCCAGCACGTTATGAAGTATTACCAAGCTACTGAAGTTAATTCTTTACCAAATTCAGTAAATTTGACTCTCATGCTTTAGCTCTGACTCATTTTCTCTCTAACCAATCCCTAGTTATTACCCACTTCCTCACAGAGTTTATGGGGACAGACACCGCAGTACCATGGCTACTAAACAAACCATGAAGATTGGAGGAAAACTCTCCAGAAAATGCAGATAGATTAAAGCGACAAGCTTCCTTACTCACTTTCTCTGTCCAGTTAGTCAAATTACATATGCACTGGTTTTTAGCAGTAATTTCACGCAATAAATAACAAATCAAGCATATCCACAGAGTAACAGTACAAGGACACTAAACTGGCTGAAATCCCGGGGCCCAGAGGCTCCAGCCTTGACTTCCCAGCACGTTGCACAAGAAAATGGAGTTTGGTGGCTGAGGGTACCAAAATAGCTGGTGTGTGTGTCAGACATCTGCCCAGCACAGCTGGACACACAGTGCAGGACGTACGGACGTACAGCGTACCCACGCTACAAACATAAAATCCACAAAGCTTTCTGCTACGCATTTCTAGACAGCCAAAAATGTCCATCGCCTTCACGCTATGAGTGATGCTATGAATCCTTCCAGCTCCAGATAACTTTATTAGATGCTGGTGGGATTTTTGGATGGGAGGCTGCTGAGCTGAGGTTTGCATCCTAAAGTGGAGGGTAGAGCAAGACGAGGCAGACCTTTAGCCATCACTCCTCTGCCTGGCTCCTTTCCATCCCCTAAGGACAATTCTACCTCCTGGTGTGAATAAAGTCTCACAACATCTCGCTGGGGATCTTACTGATGTATATAAATACCTGAGGGGTGGGTGTCAAGAGGAAGGAGACAATCTCTTCTCAGTGGTGCCCAGCAACAGAACAAGGAATAATGGGTTTAAGTTAGAACATCGGAAGTTCCACCTCAACATGAGGAGAAACTTATTTACTGTGAGGGTGCACTGGAACACTGGAGCCCTGGCACAGGCTGCCCAGAGAGGTTGTGGAATCTCCTTCTTTGGACACTTTCAAAACCTGCCTGGACACGTTCCTGTGTGACCTGCCCTAGGTCACCCTGCTCTGGGAGGAGTTTTGGACTAGATGATCTCTAGAGGTCTCTTCCAACCCCAAACATTCTAACTTAAAAGTCTGATGTAATGTCAGCGTGGCGTATAATTTGGGCTTGCTATTGCTGACAGTCCTCAACAGTCCTAATGGGGAGGGGATTAGAGCAAAAGGAGGAGGGGAAACTGAGTAAAAGATACCAAGACTGCTCCACGTTTTCTGGGTGGAAGAGGAAACAATGGAAAATAATACAGGAATTTAGGAACAGCAGTAATAATCTCAAATATAATTCGGTCAAGGAGATCCCCAGAACTTCAAGTGAGCATTTATTCTTTCCCATTATAAGAATAAAAAAGACTCCTGCAGTGACCTACCATCGCATGCAAATACATACTTGGTGGCACTCGTCATTCACTGCTCTGGACTGGTGATGACCAACCTCTTGATCACCACTATTTCTCTTGGATATTTGCAGCTGCACTTCTAGTCACCTCTACAGTATTTTTCTGATATACAACAAGAACGTGTTATGTAATTCAGCACCCTACTAGACAGGTCTCTCCTGCGTTAATTTGAAAAGATGCAGTTTCAAAAACTACAGTTTCCTTAAAAATACAAGATAGTTGTGGGTAGGGAGACGGGAAAAATGAAAAAGGGAAAAAAAATCCTCTGGTACTGAAACCACAGAACCTTACTGCTTGACATACAAGCCACAGAAACCAGACAATTGTCAGTCATGATTATTTCTCTTACAGCTCAAGACATTTCTCTCATGGAATAAGTGAACCAGCTTTTCAAACCTCCGAGTGTAGCCACACTTAGCCATCTACTCGGCATCACATATGCAGCAACTCCAGTTTCCACTGCAGACATTCCAAAATACTGAAAATCAAGCCAGAATGTCCAATTTCTCTGATTTAGTGTCCAACACTTGCTAAAATTTCCAGGAAACTGGTATTTATACAAACTATGCCAAAGCTATTCAGTAACAAAGTACTTTCAACTGTACTTTGGAAAGAACTGTGCACTGAAGAAACAAAGAATAAGAATCATTCCAAATCTATAACCCAATAAAACAGGAAAACTACATGCTCATTAACAGTATTAAAGACAAACTTTGCTTCTGTTTCTCTGCTTATCAGTAATCTTGGTTTAAATATTTAAAAATATTTAAGAGACAATTTTAAGAAACCACCTGGGTAGCTGCAGATATTATTGGATACTAGAAATTTTAGACATTTTTCAGGGTATGCATGTGGATATTGATAGCTGATGTACAGAAATTAATTATAAATAAATAATTTAAAAAAAAAAAAAAATCAGAAAACCTCCTTCAAGTATATGATGGAAAACAACTGGCTGCAATAAGAGACCGTCTCACATCCCACTAGATGGAGCTAAGGGCTTGAAATCTGGTCAAATATTTCAGTAATCCCAGTGGCACAGGAAAAGCATTTACAGAGGCCAAGTTTATTTGCCTCTTTCCTACTGCCCAGGGAAAACCTGAACCATTGTCCTGAGGCACTTAAATCTCACACTAGCACCTATGCAAAGCCCAAGAATAAAGATGTGCTGGGCTGGTTGACATCGTAAGGACATCATGGTTAAGCCCGAAGTAGCTAGCTAGAGAGCAAGCAAAAAAAAATAATGGCTTTGCATATCAAGAGATCACAGTAACCAACAATAGGAACAACGAGAATCAAGCAGCTTTGTAAATTATGTGACCGTTTGTTTTGAAATAAAAAGGCAGATGAAAAATTACTTCTATCTGGAACACAATTTCCTGGCTTTGTGGCTTTAGCTTCATTTTTGGTAGTCGGGCAAGGGGCAGTAGCAGTGAAGGTAGGTGATTTTTTTAATTATTTGTTGCCGAGAGCTGCAAGTCACCACGCTACGCAGTGCATAGATGGTCTACAAAATAAAATACCACTTCAACAGGCAGCTGAAACATTCATCAACACCAGCAAGAAGAACTTGCAGTGCAAACAGAATGCAAAGCAACTCCGCGAGGTCATTTTACTTGGCATTTTTCATGCTACAAAGTATTGTGGACCCTTCAGTGTCTGGCACCGTAACGTCTCGGCAGATTTTCAGACGTGTGATTTATCACAGCGACAGAACAAGTAAATTAGTAAAGAGGTGTCCCGACATATCAAGTGTATGGCTGTGTGAATTTATCATGACTAAGGGCAGGCACTGGTGCTTGGGAATAGAGAAGCTCCCCAAATTGGGATAATCTGGCTGAAACAGAACTGAAATATGGCTGGAGGGAAAAGGAGCACTCTCAGGGATCCTGATCTAGAAGATTTTTTGCTGTAATTGTGTAGAATGAAATGTTTTCTTTAAAAAAAGCCCACAAACTGCTAGCAACCCAGTCAAGTTTTACTAAGAAGCAGTTTCCAAAAGAAGAATATGTTTAGGAATGACAGTCACCAAAATTTGTCTATAGCCCTTGGATTTATTCTCTGAGATACACATTTCAACAGAGGAAAGGCAAGGCTGCTTAGCCTATTGTTTACCCAGTGAGTAATTACACTGTAATTAAATTTTGTTGATTGTTCTCCTTCACAGTAAGATAATCCCATTCACCACCCAAGCTTCAAGGGCATCCATAAATACATGCATGAAGATTAGTCTCTTAGAGGAATGCCCAATGCCCAGGTCAAAACCAGATGCTGCCATACACACTCCAGCACTCAAGACTGGAAATAAAACATATTTGAAAGAGTTTAAGGCCAGATCTAAACCAGTTACAAACATCTTAATACCTGAACTACAACAGTAAAGGATCTGTCACCTACAATATGACAATTTCTACAGTGGGCAAACAGATTTCAGGCATTGGTGAAGTTGTAATTAAGACAATAAGGAAAATATATTAACACCTTGAGGACAGGCAATCTGCAACAGCCAATATAACAAATTCAAGCCAGCCATGCTTGGAAAAGCAGATGCACAAGAGCACAAATACAAGCACATACTGAGAAAATAAGCATTTCGGTTTATGCTGATAAAAAGGAGACCATCATGACATCCGTTCAGGCAGATGTGCTGTTCAAAGAAAAAAAACACCCCACAAGGGGAAGTAAAATGAATCACTCACTCACAAGAATTAGTACTGTTGAATCCTTTTAATAACACTAGGAAAATATCATAGTATTAAAATCCTGCATGGGATCGTCAAAGGGTTATTGTGGTTGGGATTTCTTTTTGTTTATAAACCAAACTTTTTTCCCAATTGTGTTTACTTTTAAACGAACTACTCCTTTACAATGGCATTTCCAGTTAAAACGCGGCTAACCTATAAATACCTGAATACCACAACACACACTGTGTGCGTGGGTTTTTGTTTAAATCTTAGCGGAAGTAATGGTAAATCTAATTCAACACAGGGAAGCAAACGTCGATTTGTTAAGCAGGGAATGTAACAGCCAGTAAAGAATACATTGCATACATAATACAGAAGGAAGAAAAAAAAAATTATCGTCTGGAGTATGTGAAATTACACGATTTTGCACCTTAAACCTATTAGAAGTTACTCTGTTGGCCAATACTAATCCACTGAACAAGCAGAATGTTGGTCAGAAGTCTAACGTTTCCTGTACCAGCACAGAGAGAATATAAGCAGTCCAACGCTGTTAAAAGAAAACATGAAATCCAGCTCATGTTTCTGGTTAGGGCTCGATTTCTTCAGGGATTACTGTTAACATAACATCTTCGTTGCCCCTGCGTACAACCATGTTCAACGTACTGTCCTTTTTAATAATGTCACTGACATCACTGGCTGAGCTTATCGACTGTCCATTGATGCTTATAATCACGTCGTTGTCCTTCAGGCCACCACTGAAAACACAAAGTAGCAATGTATTATTATAATTGCCATTCTACTGTCTTTACAACTTATTTTTTTTTTTAAAAAAAGGAAAAAGATTGCTGGATCTCCTCTATTTCCCAGCTGACGGCAGTTGCAGAGACACAGCGGGCATGCAAAAAGCAATCAGAATTTATGAAGCAGTGGAGATTACAATACTATGCAGAAACCTCAGAAATAGGACGGAGCTACAAGCTTGATGAATCCCATATTTCCCTCTCTTTATAGGAATTCCCTGTTGCAAAGAGCGAAGTAATTCTGCAAGAAGGATCGGAGAACGCCGATTCGGTTGAAGGGATAGAGGCCTATTTTTCTTTTCAAATAATTTCAACAAGGCATTCATTCTGGAGGGGAAATTTTCCAAGCTTTTATTCACATATACACAGCAAAGCAATTTGAGTGGCACTACATGCTAACACACAAGGAATTTCGGCCGTGGATCCATGCTGTTCTCCCCACATAGCTTACCGGCAGGCGCCGCTTTTTCGTCACTTCATATATTATATCTTCCCGGCAGCCGCCGCGTTGCCTTACCTTCATATTTTAAACCTGAGCAGAATAACACACGCAACGATCTAGCCCAGGCACCAAAAATGCATTCTCTTTGCCTGCCTGTCCGTGGCCCCAAGAATCCCCTCTCCTGACCTCAGCAAACCCAAAACTCTCCCGATTTGAAGCAAGACAGGGCAGATCGGGATGCGGCACCGCAGGTCTGAGACTGCTGTCGGGACCGAGAAACAGGGTGATGAGGGATGCCATCGACCACAACATCTCGCCCGGTCTTGCACAACAATCTGGCTCCAAGTTATGGAAATATTAACCAAGTAACCAGATGAGACATGATTCAGCCCTTCGGCATAATCCTTCTTCAGAAAACCACAGAGCAGTCATTGGCCTCTTCCGCCCGCAGCAAACGCCTGCCACATGTGTCTCCTGCAAGCAGGAGGACTTGGCCAACTTTTGCAAGAAATTTGGTCACCTACCGAAAAGCACGGCTTAAAACCTTTTCGTGATAGAAACCATTCCAGGTTATCTCGGTCTCTCGTGCAGCCTCTCCTCTCAACTCATCCCCAGGACAGGTCGCTGCCAGCCTGCTCTGATCCCCTACCCAGCAGGTCTAGAGAGAGGAAATCAGCAGGACGGGGAAACCCATTGCAAGGGGACTAGGAGTGGGGGGAACAAGTGCAAACACAGGGTGCGCTTTAATTGCCAGGCTGGCCTTTGGATGAAGTGCTTGGATTTGAGTTTGCCTTCAAGTTATGTGACTACGCTGCCTCACATTTCTTCCACCTAATGTCCTTCTCCCACATTCTGCTAACTATTATTTGTACTCTTACAATGATTTTTGTGCACCTTCAGATTGGACCTGCGTGTCCAGGTGGTAAATTCTCCCACACTGGAGTCCCATGCTGGAGCAGCCACATTACTCCTACCCTAACTGCAGTTTAATTTCACTTTCCAGGCATACATCAGTATTCTGCACAAACAGTGCCGTCAACGAGAATCACCTACAAAAAGCAATTTAGAGAGCACACTGGACAACTAACCCTGCGTATCCCACAGTGGCATCCAGACTGCAACAAAAAGACATCATCCAACCATTCTCTCAGTCTTCTTGCTCCAAGCAGCTTTCTGTCTACCTGCCTTTGGCGCTACATAAGCCTTTTTGTTGCCACAAAAGTTTACTCTTCTCTAGTTTCAGAAAATGAATAAAGTTTCCCATTTCCTATCCTGGATCAGTGAGCAATTTTTTATCAATCAAACTCTGAAAGGAAAGTGTCTCCCCAGCAAGAGCCAGTCAGACCAGCACTGGTGACCACGGACCAGATGCCGTACTTTAGTCAGGCATCTCCTGAAGTGTGGTACCAACGAGCAGTTGAGCTTCCGAGTAAATACCGAATAATATGACGAAAAAGACCAACCGGCCAAACCCAAAAGCTCTTCCCTGTAACGTGACTCCTGACAAAGCTCTCACACGGAAGAGCATCTCCTGCCAAGAGAGGGTTTCACCCCCATGGAGGCACACCAGGAGCTGGTGGGTTTGCCCAACACTGAGGTGCCTGGGCTGGGATGGCCACGTCTTCACGAGGTGGACGCAAAGCTTCTCCCTCACTCTCTTACAGAAGGGACCAGCAGGGCCACGGGGAGCGTGCACAAGTAAATGTCTTTATTCAGCACTGGCGTCGGTACAACAGATGTCTTGGAAACGATGGCTGAGAAAAATGAAAATTGAGTTTTCACGCCCACTGAATCCTTGCCCTTTCAGCTGGGAACACTGACAGGGCTCCGCTGCAATACCCTCATACATTCCCAGTATTGCCCATTGGGGACCGGACTAAAACCACAAGTTGATTTCCAGTAGACAACCTAATAGCTATCAGATGGTCATGATTTTGTTAATTTAGCATAATCAAGACAGCCAGTTAAGCAGAGAACATTATCATTACCCCCTTAAGTCAGTGGCAGTGGTTTTGAGAAAAGAAAAAAAGTACTTCAACTTACGCTTCAGCTGGTGTTTCTGGAATTACTTCAATAACATACGCCCCAGAGACAACATCAGGAAAGTCTTTATGGCGATCTTTCAGCTCTCTAGCTTTGCTGGAAAATGAAGAAACAGCAACAAAAATATTTTGACAAGATGGGGAAAAAAAAAATCATGCATTTTTACTTAGTTAAGTCATTTAACATACACTAGCTGAGGTATTTTACACATGTTGATGTGACACATCACAATTCGTCTTAACCCTTATGAGCATTTCAGGAATGATTACACTTCTTGCACACACACAGCTTTCCAATGCCTACTTCTGGTACAGGGAATCATTTAAATAAACACAAAGGATAAGAGTTAAAACATCTCAAAACTTGGTCATCACTTCAGAACCGGCAGACCCTGAACACAGTACAAAAAAAATTAAAAAAAAAAAGTTTTCAACACTTTGTTATACCTGTGATCGTGCACATGGGAAAACTGGGTATTTCTACAGGATGTAGTATCACGTGCTCATGAGCCTCTTCTGGTTTGAGTATGAATAAGCAAGTCCACACAAAAGCTTTATTTTAATTTAAGTGAATTGTTTAATGACAATGATTTTATAGACATGGAAATACGCACGTAGCTGCTGCAATTCTTGAAAACATACTGTCCTGTTTTCTCCTTGACCCACATGACAGCACGGGACAGACGGTAACAACAGTAGCAGAGCCTCAGGACAAATTAACAACCGCTAGCTACTCTCTTCTGAAGCATTAAGGAAAAGAAAAAGCCAGGGAGTTGTTTAAAAACTAGCTCATACAAGAGTCTACAGGAGAGTTCAACCATGTAGCAGAAGCAGAGGAAAAGGGAGCCAAAACTGTCTGCGAGTTGTCACCAGCACCCAGAGAGGCACACGTGGCTGGTTCGTCCTCCTGGTTGTCTCTGCAGATCATGAGCTGGATCCCAACGCATGCAGTGACCACACTTGGAAAGGTGAGGAACCACATTTACTTACCTCGGGCTCAGGGACATCATGCGTATGCCAATGTATTTCTTTTTGGTTATAGCTTTCCCTGGGGGGGGAAAAAAAGAAAAAAAAAGGAAAATAGGTCTTGATCAACTGCTCCTACCAGAAGAGCCTCAAAGGCTGCTTGGTGTCTTTCTGGGTTATTATTATTCAAATTGGTGAAGTAAAATACCTTTAGCTTGTCTGTCATGGGATTCAGTTAGGAATTTTTTAATCTTATCCGATGGGATAGCAAACGAGATCCCTGCTGTAACTTTTAATGTGTTAATTCCAATGACTTCACCGTCCTGGAGAAATAAGAAACTGTTATGAGCAAATACAAAATCTCTTAAAGAGAAATGGATGATTTCTTCCAGCCAACCACAAATTCACACTACACGCTTCACATTTAGCTTTCAATTTCTTTAAGTCTATTCTTTGGCGTTTATTGATAAAAAACTATTCTGCAGTTTTGGAAAACTGACGTGGATGTTCATCTTGCCACTAGCAGGAGAGAGATCAGACTCAGGCAGCTCTCCTGAGCAGCACATTCTACAGCCAGTTTTGGTCTGTTTAGCTCAACAGGCACCTCACGAAGCACGGCCCCGACCGGTCCTGAGCAAATATTGCATAATGATAACAGAAAAACGACAGCTGACCAAAACCAAAAGCTCTTCCCAGCAATGTGACTCCAGGAGAGTTTCAGATAAAAACCACCTGATGATTCGAATGCTTCTCAGCAGCTCCCTTTCCTGTTCTACCCCAGAAAAAAGCTATCCAACTACAATATTTTAAACGGAGGTTACCGGTGCTGAAATTATACTGGGAGAAGGGTGAAAAAAGCGCCAAATCTTCAAGGCAGAAGTTCTGACTAGCTCTCTCTTCCCATCCATGCTGCTCCTCGCTGAGGACCATCACCTCGCCTCTGCTCAATCCCACGTGCCCTCGTCCAGGAGCTCCAACCTGCTTCAGCTGTTCTCTCGTGGGCTTATCCACAGCTGCTGCAAGGTCAGCTATGTTCTACAATACCAGCAAATAAACCCTAATATCCTGATAAATGTGGGTTTTTCAATGCCCTCAGCATCATTCGAAATAAAGAGGTAGATATGGGTGTGAGCCATTAAGGTGAGTTTCAATATGCAAAATAAAAATGTATTACCAGCTGCACAGTACACAAGGAAGGCAAATGCCTTAACTTTATAAAGTGCTTTTTACTTTTTGCAAGGCATGGGCAGAAAAAAAAATAATAATCAGGCATTACGCTTGCTTGGAACCACACAAACCATAAATACCTTAAATATTGAAATCCAAGAGTATCTTGTGATTTCTCCAGCATAATGGGCTTAGTAAGAACAACCATGGGAATTTTGTTTAGTCAGCCACATATCAAAAGCTCTGAATCACATTTCTGGTGTGGTGTTTTGTTTGTCTGTTGGTTTGGGTAGGCTTTTTGTTTTGTTTTTTCAACTAAAAAGTAAAAAGCAACAAGCTTGTCACTAAAAAGAAACTCTTACCAGATTTACTAGGGGTCCTCCGGAGTTTCCATACTGCAAATAAACATATGGCAAGAACATGTTTTAATATCTACCTCTTAATTCATGGCAAGCAAAACGTAGAAGAAATTTTTGAAATATTTCTGTAGTAATTTTTGCATTGTCTATTAAATATGTGCAATAGAACACTCTTAACATCCAAACCCATTAACTACACTTAACATCACCCCTTTTAGCTTAGCTTTGAAAATGCGTAGTCCTTCTTCGCTTGCCAGATTAAGCAAGCCAAGGTTTTTCTTTTGTTTTAGTAGCACCATGCTAGCAACTTAGAAGATTTTAGGACAGCTCTGGGACCTGTTAGTGAAGATTTCTTACAAGACTGACAGTAGAAGCACAAAAACTATTGTTTTGCCTTAACGCAGAAACAAACTTGAACCCTTAAACCAAGCTTGGCTTCCTCTTTAGAAAACATGACAGATTTCGAAAAGATACTTATTTGCCAGAGCATATCGCCTCCTCCCTTGCAGTCTGTACGAATTTCGAAGTGAAGGCAGATATTGTACTCGGTGTGGTTCCTTGGGGGATTTCTAAATAACAACCAAGCGCTGCTGCGGCGCAGATGTCCGTATTTACACGGATGAAAAAGAAAAGCCAACTGCGCTCACTGTTCTTAAGAACTGTACCACTGGTGAAATTTTCAAAGGAACCCTTCAAGAAATCTGAGCTGAAAGGGACGAGGCTCAGAGCAGGACGTACATTGATGATGGCGTCGGTCTGAATATAGTCCATGTCGGAGTTGCGGAGCCCCAGCTCCTTGCCCCCGCGCTGAGTGGTGCTAACGATCCCTGTAGTCACAGTGTTTTGCAGGGAAAATGGACTTCCAATCGCCACCACAAACTCTCCTGGCCTCAAGTCGGCAGACTGACCGAGCAGAAGAACTGGCAATTTACCCTACAAATAAAAAAAAATTAAATTAAGAAAAAAAAAATCAAATCCAAATGTTAAGACCCTACTATACTGGTAAGACAAATTCTACAGAAATATGTTAGTAGAATGTTAACAGAGAATACATTAATAGGGAGAGAGGCTTTTATCCCTTGTGGGCTTGGCTCACTCCGATTTCCTGGAATATTTCATGTGGCCCCGTATGGAAACACCTCAACATGATTCTGCTCTGAAGAATGGGCTCTTTAGACTGTAGGGGTACTTTATCCACAACAGGTACCCATTAAATCGAAAACGATTAAGCCCAAAGGAATATTTATGCTCTGCTGTACAAAGCAAACATCTGATGACATTCGGAATGAGTTGTTTCCAAAAGCTTCTTGAAATCATTAGCCAACAGCTGCTGAAGCAAAACTATATTGTTTGAGAGTGAACAGTAAAGTCAAGAAAGCAACACTGAAGTGCCTCAAACATGCATATACATAGTTAAAAGCATTTTATATTCTCATAAGACACCAGCAAATATTTCATCTTTCGTTTTTTTCATAGGATGATCACTTCTAAATAATTATATTGCCTCCTACATGCACTAATATCTTCTGAAGATGTTAGGATTTAAAGACTTTACAGGATTTTTCTGTTCTGACAGCAGGGGCTACCATCCTATTTTAGAGATCTTATCTCTAAACATATTAACTATTATGCTATTGAAGACGTTCCCACTAAGACACTCTGAAAATACAGCATCAATAGAGATCACTGCAATTTACAGCAATTAAAACAAAAAAACGTAAGGGAGGGAAGGTTGGATACACACACCCTTGCAATGCAAAGGATCAAGGGATCAGAGTACGGTTTCTCCAAGATGTATCTGCACAGGAACTGAACTGGCTGGAGAACAAATGATTCAAAGTGGACCAATAACCCCCCTGGAGCAATCAGAAAACAGCTGGGAAGTTCTTAAGGCCTCCTACTCACCAAGTAATTGAGAAGAGTATTCTGAAGCAGATCATATTTCAAACAAATACTTTGCCTTTATTTATCACTTGCCTGCAAAATACACATTCAGCCCTATTTCTTCTTTGCTTTCTATTTTTAAAAATCAGTCTTTACCCTTTCAGTGATGTTACATGGTTTTTTTAATCCTTTTCTGCTTAACTTGTTGTCCAAATGATCCTGACACTCTCCAGGTACTTAATCATGTCACTAGACTACTTCTATTAACATCAATGGACTTGTATAGAATCAGGTTTCCGTTTAAGGCTCTGGAGATAAGGAGCTTACTGAACCCAAAATCAAAACAGAGTAAGTCTCAAAGGATATATCTTTTGCTTGGCAAACTTAACTTTAGCATAGCTTTCCTCAAAGCTCGCCCCACTTCAAAATTCTTACCTTTTTTTGCTAAAAAAACCTGGCCCCAAAAGCAAAAAAGGCCTTACTATAAGCTTTCAGAAGAGGCCAGTGATTGTAGATGCAGTGGAAGTCCCAGCTAGAGATTAACTTAAACTGCTTTCCAAGGAGTGCATAACACAGTCACTTTATTAAAACCCAAGGTACCTTTCAAGGTATTCTTGAGCTGTGTACCGAAAATGAGTGTACAAATTGTAGCTCTTTTAGAGGTCTTTTGTCATCAGCAGTTTGAAAGCCTGTATCAGTAAGTCATCCTTAGGGTCAAAAATCTACTAATACAAACTAACCCAAATGTATTTTTCACCCACAGTCTTATTTCATATGTCCTTGGAGATACACAGTGTCTGTAAAGTAGAAAGTAAAAAATAAAGGCATCAGTCATCACCATATGCGGCTGCAAATACACAACTTATGGTTTTAATATTTAACAAGCCTGGTCTTGTGTATCCTTTATCCAGCTTTGTTACAATTCCACAAGCAAAAATTTTACTCAGATGAACAGACTGTTTCAATAAAATTCATTGCCAAATCCCAGATGGGATAAGATCCTCAATGGAAACTTATCTTTTAGTCTCCAGACAGCAAGAAAATAATTAACCAACTGCTTGTTAAACAGAATCAGTTGGAAGAGCAACACTATAGGCAACACTGTGAGGAGAAAAATATTTCTCTTCCTAATCACCTTTCAGAGGAAAGTTTTCACAACCGCCAATGCCTTACTATTATTTAATAATTACCCGTGGTCCCTATCAGTGCCACAGCTATAGATAAACCCAACCGAGGCCATGGCTTAATTCTGGGAAAGGTTCAACAGCGCTGCCCGGTTTCCCCACGGCGTTCACAGGGTGGAAGAGAAGCAGTGAGATCCCAAAGCGACCTCGCCGAAAAAACCAAAGCCGCCTCGCCGACCGGTTCATCATCTCAGACCACAGCCCTGGCTCCAAGGGACCTCTCCGGTACGGCGGGGAAGAGGCAGCCCCGATGAGCTGTGCTGGGAAGTACGCAGTGCATGCAACACAAACAGCCCCATATGGGTATTGTTTGGATAGAGGGAGCACCCTGGCCCTTCCTCCTCTTGCCAGATGCTATTCAGCTTACGTAGCACGTGTTTTCAAGATGTCGTTGGTCGAGAAGCGCATCTCTTTTTGGCACTGCTTTTCGTTATTTAAAAAAAAAAAACCACAGAAAAACCCAAACCCACAAAAAGTGGGGTTTGTTTGTATTCTAGCGGATGCTTTGTAGAGAAAGAAGACATGTCTCATCAAATGAAACAGAGACAAGCAAAAGGAAGCAGAAATTATTATTTTTTTTTCTCATTAACAGAAAAAAAGGACTAGTCGTGTACAAAGTTAAAGATTTATACAACGTTCCTGAGTTATAAAAACAGTCAGGAAGCCAAAATCGCATCTGGCAGCAGAAAGAAAATACACGAACAATCTCTGACTAATACAATTACTTTTGATTGTGCTGAGTTTTCAAGCCTGTGCCTATACTAGCCAGGCTTCAGTTCAAAGTCTAACGCTGTACGGATTGGCTGTGGGTCACCCGTGTGATTCAACATGCCTTCCGGAAAGAGTTTGGCTAACCTTTCCTTTGCTAGGAACAAAAATCAAGTTGCAAAAAATCGCCTTGCTCTGCACATATTATGAAACACAGCTCTGGAAAGCACAGTCTCTGTTCCTTACGATTTTGCCGCGTGCTGCACTAACGGCACAGCAGGCAGACACTCTCCTTAATGCTTCTACAGGCAACTGCCACGAAGAATTAGTTATGATGAATATATGCAACCTGGTGGCTTTAAATTCGGGGTTTTCTCTCCAAAAGAGCTTAAAATTGCCACATTCAGAACTGAACTTTCCATTATCAAGAACCCACAAGTATGTACTTAAATTGCAGAGGTGTTTCTGAAGTGAAATCAGTATAAAACTTCTCACCTAGGATGTGAAGGCAGCCCTCGTAAACCGAGATTAAGCCAGGGTCCAGGGCTCTCAATAAGTACACTTAACAAACACGCACTCTTCAATCTTTACACCACGTCTGATGGTCATCCAGACGATGTAACTACTGTCACAACTCGTTGATTCTTCTCTTTGGTTAACTGTAGACTTGCCACAACAGTTAATTAAAATCCCAGGCAAACGAGCATGCCTTGCAGCCCAACGAACAGGGAGCCAGGAACACCCAGCCCTTCGACCCAGCTTTCCCAGTGACTCACTGCATGACCCTGGGCAACACATAACGTCTTTTTCTCTCCCTCTGCCTTAAATTTGACGGAGCCTTGGGGCTCTGCTGGGATCCGTGTTTACTCAATAAAAACAAATCTGCATTCTGCAAGTACACAGAAATAGGACGAAACATGCGAAACCATAAGTGGCACATGACTCACTGTTTACACCCAGCCAGGGAAGGAGCCGTTAATTAGTGTTAATATTTTAAGCCTTTCTCATCCCCAAAGGGCTTCAGACATTTTTATAACATACGGATTTGACTCAAACCCCGGGTAAACATAACTCCCACGAAATGGAGAGCTGCACGCCACCACAAGAAACGGCTCCATCCAACAACAAGACGCAGCTAGGACGTGGCACGAGAGATCAGGATGAGTACGGGAGAACGGCGGCACCAGGCAGGAGCCCGACGTTCACCCAATGTACGTTAGCAAGAGTACTCGAGTCAGGAAAAGTAAGTGAAGCCCTGACAGATCTGCTCTGAAACTAAAAGGAGAGGCAACACAGAGAAATAAAAAGCAACAGTCAGCCAGCCAGTACCAGTAGGTGTTTCATAGTTGGAATTTTTTCATCCACGAAATAAGTGAATGTGTCTCGATGCCAGCACCGAAAGCAGGTAAACCCCTTCCCTGCTCTGTAACCCCCTTCATTCGTGGAAGGAAGATCACGAATTTGGAGGAAACGGCTCGCAGTTCCATAAACCAATGTGGAGGGGACAAATATTCAGAGTTGTCTTAAATAGCGACAGATTTCCTGCATGCTTTTTTATTTTTAGGTGGAAAAGAAACAGATGCTTGTATGGTACGCTAGTTCAGCCGCAAGTAACTCTGGCAAGACATGTAACTTCCCTGGGAACTGCATTTCTCTTCTCATTAATGAAACGAACGTCCAGAATACGTTATGGCAAAATAAAAACACAGGCCATAAGCACATCAAAACATAGAGTGTCATCTACCATCTAGAAACTACTTGTCAGAACGCCAAAGAAAATGAAAAACGCAAGCTGAACACATTACAAGCCCCTGAAAGAATTTCATCTATAGTTAGCAAAACAAAACCGAGTCTCCTTATCTAAATATAGAGCATGGGAAGTTTGCTGGAAAAAAAAAAGAAAAATTAAAAAAAAAAAAAGGTGAAACGCTGTTTTGCTGTGTCACTGGGATTACAATTACCTGGCAAGATATTGCTGTTTTTCCTTAAAAAGAAAATAAAATAGAAATAAATAATAATAATAAAAAAAAGATAAAATTAAATATACCCTGGTGCTAGCAGACTCACTCCATCCTCCCTGCAGCAAATGCCACAAGGAGCTGAAGATGGCAGGAAGCCACTGCTGCCTAAACTGATGAATAAACAGGAGTTAACATC